TATGAATCTCACACATTAGCGGCGTCACTCTCTATCTCACTCACACTTCGTAGAATAGCTCTCTCCGTCTCTCTCATAGTTACCGTTAAGAATTATGTCATAGTTACCGTTCCGAGCGAAGGATTGGGTACACTAAATAAATTTAAATTAAGAAATAAAAAATAGTTGAAAACCGGTTTTGTTCACAAAAAAATTATTTGACCATAATCTAAGAAATAAAGTAGCAAGTGTAATAACATTTTGGAATCCTCTTAAAATGCGCCAACTTTTAAAGCTACTTGCCCAACCAGTGTAGTACATTTTTTTTTCGGTAGAGTGAGTTGAAATTGAACGAAAATTCAATTTCTCTTTTGATATGGGAATAATGTGTCATTTTTTTTTCAAAATTAGAGTTGTGTCAAAATTTTAGACGACTAGCTACAGGAGCATTACTCAGGGTTACAAAATAATAAAAAAATTAAAATAAAGTGGAAATTTGTAGAAACGGGAAGTGAAAATGCGTCACAGGGTGTATATTTTTCGATTTTTTTCAAAATGGTCATAATTTTTAAAATACATGACGTAGATTTTATTTTTTATTTTTCTGATAACAGTTATGACCTGGCCTATCACCCCGTTCCGGCTTGACGTCGCGTCCCGGGACACCCTGTATATACGTATCGTCAACTCTCTTTAAAAAAAAATAGTAGACCACATTATAACACCTATTAAACGAAACTTAGTTGTGAACTGTATAAAAAAAATGGCGAGTTTTAGTAGTTACATTTTTTACACGAATTAATTTTTATTTACGTTGGCGTTTCTTGATTATTTGTTACCATTAAGCTGATGGCTCTGCAGTCAATGCTTTATAAATAAATAAATAATGTGAACTGTATAAGATACGAGAGAATAATGGATTTACATCAACTATTTGGTATAGTTCTAAACAGTCATGCTCTCCTTGTCTTAACCAACGCATTTACGTTTTGATAACTTGAACAAAACTGGAAAAAAAATATAATTCGAGGACTTATATTACGCTCTTTGTTTAGAAATATCTTATGTACTTTTATTTAGCGTGAATTAATAAATAAATTTGTATAGCTTTAAGGAAGTTAGAGAAAAACACTATTTATAATGGTTGGACAGCAGCGAAAAAAAAACCCTTTCAAATTTTTTCCATCTTCTCAAGCTTTTTAATGGCTCCGCTGTCTTCGCTCAGTAACTTCAACTTTTGACAGGTGTGAATGTCCAATATGGAGAAATATTGGAAATACGGAAAAATATTTTTCAGAAAATCTATGATTTAAAAAAAAATGAAATTTTTCCATGACCCAACACTAAGATCAAGTCACACTGAAAGTGCAGCAGCAGGACGAGTATTTTTGGAGCAAAGTATTTTGAATCTTATCTTCTAAAGAAAGTACGGTTTCGAAATTATTTGAAGTGATAAAATGTATAGTGCGGCACCGCGAGCAGACGCGAGGCCGACTCTGCTCTTTCGACTTGACCCTTCCAGGCAAGTGGCTACTTTTGCTGGGCAAGTGTTTTATTAGATTTCAAAATATGCCTACTTGGGTTTATAACTAAGAGCCTGAGTGCCATATTAACCGTCTCATAATATGAAAACAAACTTGACACCTTTGTGCTTGACACTAATACACTTGGCGTAGGCCGGGCTCTAGGGACTCATTATGGAATTCTTCGTTACGGACTGTCTTCACGCCTTCAAATAAAACATTACGCAGCACGCAATGATTACAATTCTATTATCCAAATCAAAAGAAGTCTCCAAGTCAGCCTCGAGCCCCTCTTGTCGTCAGAAAATGACAATGCGCAAAGATGATACCTCAACCTTGACAAGTGCATAATTTAATACGAGTGTTGCGCAGGTGATATGTCGCTCTTGATTAGAGCGCCGGAGTCACGATTGTTGCGACATTAATGAAGTTTAGAGAGCCTCGTGACACGAGCTGTTTTCATATCAATGCCAACGGACGCTAAAAATAACAATGAACCATGTAAAAAAGCTTTATTTAAGCCTTATTGCCTTATTTATTAAGTATACTTCCAATGTATGCATCCGCTCTTAAGACAAAGTATGTAAATACTATACCGTGTGGAGCTCCCTTGAACTCTGTTTTTCATCATAATTCAATAATTCACAAATTAATTTTAGCCTTATGTTGAACTTCGAATTCCTGTGAAAATGTTCCATAATATGTTGGTACTCAATATATGATTATAGTAATCCTAAGTTCCCAGCTGAATATTTAACCTAACATACTTATTATAACCCACCTAAATTCCAGTGTATGTGCAACTAAATACAGAGCAAAAGTCCAGCATACACGCCCAGCCAAGCCCTGCATTGCGGGGGTCACTCTCGTGAACTCGCAAATGTGCCATTGTATGTACGCAACAATTACAGTGTTAGAGCATTGTTCGCCTGTGCCCTTTTTGAATAATACCATCGCATTTCATAAGTGACAAAATGGCTAAAAAATCCAACTTACGTGTCATGCGGAATGACGATTGTGTAGCAATCTTTCTTACTTTTCTTTTCTTTTTACAATTCTGCATATTTTTATTGACCACAAAATGTTATTGAATGTTTTTTCCATAAACTTAACGAGGTGACTTTTGATCTCAATTATCTCGAGTCATAAGGTTGAAATTAAAAAATTTAGGCTTCGTCACGACCTAACGACAAATTCTTCAGACAGTTTACAGCAGCCACATTGTGTTTCAGTTCATATGAGTCGTTTTCACTAGGACTTCCACATCATGAGAGTACGGATACGGCAACGAATAAAGCTCTATTCTAATCTTTTTTTTAGTTTCTTTATAAAAAAAATGCTAGTTTCAAATTTCATGCATATCGGTTCTGGGGGTCTACTCTCGATCTCCGTCCGACAGCCGCCCGAAACAATTACTGTCAAATAAGTAATATTCGACAAAATTAAAAGACAAGTATCAAGAATGAAGCTTCATTCGCATCACGCGTCTTTTCATTTGGTCAAGTAGTGCTTATTTGGCAGTAATTGTTTCGGACGGATGTCGGACGGAGATCGAGAGTAGACCCCCAGGAACGGCCGAGTACATAATTCCATTAGGAAATTTTACAATTGAACTGATGCCACGAAAGCTTCGCCCGGAGAGCTTCGATGAATACTAATTTTGCCGTATTTATTTGGAACTGACCCTTAATAGACCTGTTTTGCTAAAGAAATACTTTTACTGGCGGCTTGAGAAACTCGCTCTCTTTTTTGAGGTAAGTATCGTATACATTTTGTTATCAGTTTGTTTAATTTCTTCATCAATAATTCTGATACTTACTTCCTTAAATTCCATATCGTTCCCTTACAGTGAAAAAATGGCCTACGCATTTTTGCATAGTTTGGTTATTATACTTATTGATTTTTGTTGAAGCAACACTTGTACACTTCTTGCTTAAGTATATTATTAATAATTATAGCATTTGAAAGACCTTTAAGTTATATATATATATAATAACCAATTTAAGTGAAAAAGAATGCCGTAGGTGACCTACCGCTTCTCAAGCAAGTGGCCATGTGGCCAAGTGGCACTCGCACTTCCGAGTTTCTCGGATTTATGTATGAAATTTGAAATTTAGCATGAGCTTTTCGTGCTACATTTGCATACTTGATATTGTATGAAAATTTTGTAATGGCACAGCCGCCACACCACAGACGCGCCACTGCAGTGCTTCTATTTGTAGCGTCTAATTTCAAGGCGCCCTTAGCAGGTAATAAATACCATGGTATTCCTATAACAGTATATATATATATAAGTATATGTATATATACAATAGTATAACTATTTATCTAAAATAATGATTTTAGACATTGACTTACAATTATATGGACGTCGGGTCCGCGCTAAAAAGTGTCCGCACTTGTAAGGCGCTAAAATCGTATACTATATAGAGCGCCAAACTCCGCTTTAGTCTTCATTTGTTCTACTGACAGCGTGATACTGATGACATTACAATTTAAATTTCGAATAGGTTGACTTGGGACATTTTTTTCGTGGTTTTTGTATTAGACCCGTCGTCCATTCATTTCTAAGTCAATGATTTTAGATAAATAGTTATACTTTTCATTTATACAGTTTTACTTTCGACTGTACTTATTAATAAAAACGTTTAGGTAGGGATAAGTGGAAATGAAGTTCCATTTATCTCAACCAGTGACGATGTGGTAGGAAAGAGTGGAAAAAAAATCCACTTATCCCCACCAGAGGGAACAGCTGGCAGGGACTAGTCGAATAGGCCAGGAAAACATCTTGATGAAGCCTGCACGTCGAAGAAGAACTCTCGGAGAACGTGTGAAGTCCCCAACCGGCATTGGGCTTGGCTGGCGGACTATGGCTTAATTTGTCATCTGAGAGATGACCCCGTGCCCAACAGTGAGACATATAAATGAGTGGGATGATGAATTAAAATATCTATTAACAACAAACATTATTTTATTTACTATGTTTTACACCACATTTTTTTCGTCTTGAATAATTAATTACCTAGAACTCACAAACAAACCTACGAGGTATTTATTTACTCTAAGACGACGATATTGTAATGGAGTATTTTTTATTTCTTCTTCCTATTCCTCTATAAACTACGTTACTATTTTTTCATATACTTGCATACTATTCTAATTTCTATTTCTTTACCTTCAATAAATTGAATTTGTAGTTCGTCTTTACTTAGTCATTGATGAAATGAAGTTTCATTTATTCTTAATCCTCCAATCTTAATTTCATTTCATTTATTTTCTCATTTGACGATTAGTACACGTACATGAACTACGTGATTAGCGACCATCATTGCATATTTCTCATGTTTTCTCCATTTTCATAATAATAATAATAATAATAATAATATTAGTAATATGTCAGCAACCACACCAATCGCATGGTCTCAAACGTACCTTACTTACGTAATACCGTGCTTAGAACTAATTTAGAAAAGTCCTACCGGGAATCGAACCTGAGGTCTGCGCATCCAGCGCCCACTGTGTAAACCGTTGGGCCACCGAGGTCGTCGAATATTTATTTGGAGGTATTAGGATATAAATAAATGATACACAAAACTATTCGATTAAAATCATTTATTTCAATAAACATTCAATTAATAATGTTTGACAATTTTATATATGAACTTACATAAGAATCTCACTCTCAACACGCGCTCATACATTCTTCTGTGTTATATTTTACAATAACTTAATACTTTTATTCACATTTTACATAAATAAGCTTAAAAAACTAAAAACTTAGTAAATAAAGTCTTTCTATTACAAAGAAGATATGGTTCAATATAATTTTTTGTTTCCCTACATTATACCCACGAAATATATGAAATATCGACTTTGGAATAATTTATATCTCAAACGAGCATGATTCCGTGACGGAAAGCGTGCAGAATGAACAGTATAATTTCATTGACAGATTTTCAATAAATACTCATCATGAGTGATTTACATAAGAGCGTATAGCCACGCAACACACATGCGACGTGTACAGACAGGGTGAATCGTTAAGTGCGCCCAAACGATTAATCCGTAAATATAAGAGATATCAAAAACCCATTAAACTGATGTCGAAAGAATGTTACCTAATGAGTAAAACGATATCAGTAACTTTAAAAATAAAACAAGAATTATCCAAAATTTTAACTTAAAACGCTCCCATGCATTTAATATGAAATTCGTAGAGACATTAGTTTCGAACAACTGAGTTGAATACAAAATTTTGTACTTACTTAAAAATAAGCATGACTTTGTTTTTATTCAATTAAAAGATAGTTTTATTACTTTATTTATTATAGCAGGATCGTTATCTAACGAAACTGCTATAAAAATTAAAAATTATAAAATATTTAAGAATTTATAGATGTAAGTTTATTGTTACCTCTTGAAGTAGGTCAAATAAAGCCTGTTTACGAATGTCATGTTAAATGTAGGGAGCGTTTACCGTCAAAATTTTAGATATTTCTAGTTTTTTTTTTTAAAGTTATTGGTGTCGTTTTACTCATTAGGTAACGTACTTTGGATATCAGTGAAAGGTTTTTGATATCTCTTATATTTACGAAATAATCGCCTGGGCACACTTGACGGTTAAACACTGTATATAAATATATACAGGTGACCGGTAGCGATACAAACACGCTATGTTATGCTGTTGCTATGCGTCACGACGTAGCCACTTTGGACGGGTGGCCTAAGATCCCCAAATGTCGATTGTTAATCAATGCATTTATACTGCAAGTGCCTTTAATATAACACCATAAATGAATAAAAAGCATACAACTTACGAACATAGACAAATCAAAACTAATCGTAAATAAATTTGATACCTGCCAATAACATAATCTTGCTTTATTAACAATTATATATTTGTAAAAAAGGCACAAAAGTGGTACGCTTCGCGTTGAAACCGTGCGGTTACAACTTTTAGACATCGTTAAGTTACCTTAACGATCCCTAAAAGTCGTAAGAACCGCTCTCGTTCTTCTTGCCGATGCGGAAGATGAACCTGTAGACGATACCGGATAGAATTCCACCCACAATAGGACCCACCCAATAAACCTGGAAATAACAAATAAATCAATTCAACATTCATAGGTACAAGGGCTTTCAATCTAGCTACATTCCGTGTTCCGGAATAAAATTTCGAGAAACGGTGCAGTCTCGTAAATCGTCATTCCCGACGAGACTTTCAAGACTGTTTTAAAAGTAGATATCTATATCTATATGCTAGGTATTTAGGTAGTCACAAGATATTTTAATTATGTTCTTTATTAATTCAAAAAAAAAAAAAAGGATTATGATAGTATTTTTTCTTTTTTATAGTGGGTACGTAAGAAACGAAGGGCGTTTAATACAGTTTCAAATAGGGAAGACCTAATTTTGGTACTATATAGTTATATTATGTGTGTTCCTGTATATAATTTACATACTACCGGTGTCGTCCTGTCCAAGTAATCAGAATAAAAAATGACTGTTAGTTTAGTAAATTTTTAATACTTTTTAATGAAATGACTTACGCGTCGATAGTCCTGAGACTGAAAACATCAGTCTCGAGCCTCGAAATTTTCGAGACCGAAATTCCCGGAATGAAAGCCCTAATCAAAAATTTAGAAAACTCGGACCCACTTCGGATATCCCTTCTGCACTAAGTCCGATTCAAATCCGAGAATATACGAACATCGCTTTTTACACTTAGAGGTAAAATTATCCCTGTAACATTTCGAGCCGTCATTTCTCGGATTCGGAAATGGTACGACTCGGCCGTAGTGATAAAACGCTCTAATAGATACCTATAAAGAAATGTTTAAAAAACAAACGGGCTGTCATCGTGTTTTTTTTTTCAAATATAACTTATTGCGTCTATCCGAAATCGCCGTTACTAAACCAGTTCTTTAATATGAGCGATGAGTCAGTCTTTAATGTTTCTGATAGATTGTTCCACTTTCACTCTGCAGTTTGTTACAAACACCACTATCTATTTATATATTGGATAAATCTCAGCGGCATTTATTTGACTATGCATTGCAAACGCATCCTATCTTAACACTTCGATTTGAAGTATAAATAGTATAATAAGTTTAATATTATATAAACTTTGTGAATAAGAAATGCCTATTTCGTCGGCAAAGTACTTAAAAGCAACAGTAGTAAAAAGGAACGCTTTCTGCGCTAAAGAACAGGCATGGGAAATTTGAACAATGGCTCTTTAGCTGACATAATGATTTGAAGCATCGGACAATACACATACAGCTGTTACATTCAGTATCTACAAGATGTAATGAGTGTCAGACAATACCTTTACCTGACGTGAAGAATATGGAGTCGGCGATCGTAATCTACCACTTTCCACCGTTTCACATAGACTTTGTATTGCTTAACGAAGTAGATTGCCGTAATTGTAAAAGAAAAAAATTGGGAAACGTATAATGAACTCTACATTTTCACATTATGCGTAAGCCACTTTTATCGATCACCAAAAAAATATTTTCGAGAATATATTAATATTGGTTTATTTTAAAAACTCTACACTATCGAAACGTTCAAATATTGATTGTCGCCGTAGTACAATGTGTAAAACAACAGGAAGGTACAAATGTGACCTTTTAGGTTATTTACAGACAAATTGCTTCTTATGGAATTAGCTAATAGAATACTCAACAAATGAACCCTTTATTTGCTCTACCTCTGTAAGTATATAAAATTTTTATCTTTGTATGTAAGTTTCATTTAATATGGTAACTAACTTACCATCCTTTGTCTTTTTTTTGCAATGACTTGCCAATCTACGCGATTACGTATTATTAAGTAAATCTGTTCAATCAACAATAAGTGTTCCAGTTTGCATAACAAGGCACTAGAATATCTTTGAATACTTTCACGGAACTTTCAATTAAGCATTGTCCGATACCCGATAGGTGGCCACGTAATGTGCACTGTGATATTTTTACGATGCGCTTGTTCGCGATAAGATCTTCTAGAGTTAAAGTAGATCTATCCACGCGATGCGGAACAACGAACAGGTTCTTCAGTGAAAGTGATGGCACATGAGATTATAGGACTCGGAAATTATACAGTACATTTCTCGAACGATGATTTTTGCTCCTACTTGATCAGGTACAAAGACACGAAGTTAAGTATACTAGCACAGTGTAGGAATCTTCGCTGTTCTGTTATTTTTACTCGCATTACGCAGATGACTTTCTTTTCGTGCCCATGGATATGACAATTCGACATACAAAAACGTCGTCTAGTCGCTTTTTAAAAGTCTCTGTATTCTATAGAAGACCTTTCTATATTGCATTGACTTATTTGTAGATTTGACCAAATACATTAAGAAAAATCTGACAAAACAAAAGTAAAGATTAATGAATTAGACCTAAAACTAGATGAAGAACTGAAGCAAAAAAATATTCTACTTTCATACCCTAACAATTAAAACCAAATTTTGACTGACCAATACACAGGGTTATTTATAAAATATTAACAACCTCACAGGTCTATATTATTAACATCGAAAACAACAAGTTTTGTTTTATAATTCAAAATAATGTAGTAGCAGACCTCCTTGTGAAACAGTTCGTCAAGGGAAGTACTGTGTTCCGGTTTTGAAAGGTGCTGGTGAAATTACAGGCACATGGAACTTGTCAACTTACGTCTTAGGGTGACGGTAGCAGTGGCAGCGCCCCTCAGATCTTTGAGATTTCAAACTCTGAGTGGCACTGCAACCGTTACGGATTGGCGTGTAGCTTACCATCAGGCGCACAAGAATATATATAGTGTTCCGTGGCTTAGTTGGTATAGCGTCTGGCACTGGCTGGTATGCTAGAAGACGTCGGTTCTAATCCGGCCAGATCGAATTATTTTTTTCTGAGTGTTCGATCTTTGTATTAATAATTATATGAAACTAGTGGAGTAATTTCCCATACAAAATAATTTTATATTATCAATATAATCTGTAGCCGGGACTGGTAGCTATAAAGGTATCTACACCATACCTAAAAACGCCAAATCACAATTGAGATAGATGTCTTTCACACATTAATAAGTTAGCGTTCTCACATACATATGTATACAAGTGTACATTAGATCACTGCCAAGCAGTAAAGTATATATTGCACTGGAGCGGTTTCACCGTCTTCAATTCTCGAACTCGACAAATTTACGACCACGTTGGTCGTAGTTAATTGGATCTGGAGAAAATACTGGGTGTAATCGTTAAGTGTGCCCAGGTTTATATTACCAGCTCTTATAGTACGCTGTAAACATAAGAGATATCAAAAACCTTTAAACCTGGTATCGAAAGTACGCTACGCAATTTGTAAAACGATATCAATGACTTTACAAAATAAAACTAGAATTATCTACAATTTTAACATTAAACGCATTAAATATGAAATTCGTAGAGGCTTTAGTTTCGATCAACTGCTTTGAATACAAAATTTTGTACTTAAAAATAAACGTAACTTTGTTTTTATTCAATTAAAAGATTGTTTTATTACTTTATTTCTAGTATTTTCGTTGTCTGTAAACTTATCGTTTACCTCTTATAGTAGGTCAATTAAAGCCTCTACGAACGTTATATTAAGTGTAAGGGACAGTTTAACGTTAAGATTTTGAATATTTCTAGTATTTTTTTTTTTTAAGTTATTGATGTCGTTTTACTCATTAGGTAATATATGTACTTTCGACAGCAGTTAAGAAAATGTTGTTCATGTACACTCGATAAAAGTGTCTAGGGATCAAGCACGTTTTTGTCAATTATTGAATTTCAGATTTTTAATTAATCTTTATAACACCTTTAATTATTTTTTTTCAATTTTGTAATTTAATGAATAAATAAATAAAAAAGGAATTTAATAAATTAATATAGAAGTTTTCACAAATTTTAATATGGTGATAAAAAAAATACCTTGATCCCTAGATACGCTTAATGTGTGTATATTTACGGAATAATCACCTGGGCAAACTTAACGATTACACCCTGTATATACACGAGAACTGCAGTAAAGGAGCTATTTACAAGGCTATATACTGACTACAAGCTATCTACTAAATTTCAAAGGAGTAGTATGAATATTTCGATAGTATTCACGACTTGGTTTTCAAGAAGTTTAATATTTTCATTAATTGTTATTAAAAACCTGTGTTTTAGTTGAACATGTGGAATGAATGGAATGGAATGCTCAACTCACATTGCCGCGGAACTGAAGGTAAGTTAATTTTTGTAACGAAATTGTACATAGCATAATAAACTTTATAACGATAAGGGAGCTACGGGAATTCATGAAACTGCGCGAGAATTCTGTGGAAGTGGAATCTTGAAACCACTGCTCAATTAGACCTCCCCTGAGATTATATTGCAATTGCAATATATATATACTACATTTTGTTATGTGATAATATTTTGTTATTCTGCTAAAATCCAGTTGACAATGGCAGTCGAGTCTCAATACAGTTTCAGTAAAATGATACTGATGGCATCCATTCATTCAATCTCTAACGCTCGCTGGAGAATTTACACGCACATAAGACTTGTCTACTTATGTCACAGGGTGACGGGTGCATTGGCGGTGCACTTAAAATTTTTGTAATTTAAAGCACTGACTGGTATTGCAACTGTTGTGGACAGGCGTGTTACTTACCACCAGGCGCACGCCTTGTTCGTCCCGTCACTTGGTATCATAAAAAAAGTTGTCTCCAAATTAAATTAATTTTTTTACGTGACATAATTAGTAAACTACGCCATCGTGCCGACGACAAGCCATTGGCCAAAACTGCAATAGCAGTTGAATAGTAGCTTAATAGCTGCCTTACTCTTAACTTTTAGCAGAATACTAAACGTACAAAATCCTGTCAATGACACTCTATCAACTTACAACTTAAAGATGATTTAAAAATTAACAGAATTGGGGCTCTCTTTTTTGGCGCATACCTAGTTTGTACGTTACACAGTTGATGTATAAAATTCAATGTGCCATGGTGACAAAATTCGTTAAATACATCATCAACAAAAATCAAATTAATATTGCTCACCCAATGTGATGTCCAGTGACCAATTACAGCGGCAGGGCCAAAGGAACGAGCAGGGTTCATGCTCGAACCAGAGAACGGGATCTAAAATAAAAAAATCTTATTACAAACATTTCGAACACACAAACAAAAACTTGCATAATCAAAAAGTTCTTTTTTGTCTCTTTCTCTCTCTATGTCACAAAAACTTGCATAATCCTGCGTAAACCTGAGTCTCATTTAACGTTGTTTATAAACTTTTCAGTTGAATTTACCTACATAAAAAAATAAACTCATTGTTCATGTATGTCTAGCATGGTTATTTCAAAATATAAATTTTAAGTTTAAGCAACAGAATTGTGAAAATTGAATTTGTTCTGTTATATTTTATCTAACGATTCTTCGATTCGATAAGGTTATGTATCTAGTATTTATCATTGTAAGTATGTTGTTTGTATTCTGTTTTGAGAAATATAAATGTCATAAACCATACTGTGAGTTGAAAAATTAAACAAGACAAACAAACTATTTGTTATATGACTGATACATAAACTTATATTAAACATCCAGCTTTTCTTCCCCTCATAACCGTGGACCAGATATACTATAAAATCTTATTTGGCAACCTTGATGGACAAGGAGGTGTTGGGTGGGAACAATTTGGGAAAGGAACTTTTCCAAAATTGTTCTGGTCTCGGTGTTAATTCTGTTGCTTTTTGTTTTAGAGCAGTTAATTTCTGTTTCTATTATTATTACACTGGGATTCCGTTAGCACTTACAGCAGCAGCATGGCAGGCGGTGATGCTGAGGCCGATGGCGAGTGGTCCAGAGCCCTTGACGTCGGAACGACCTGGGTCGCACACGCCTTGCACCACCGATACCAGCACGAACGTGACCAAGACTTCCACCAGCAAGGCCTGTTGCAAATATTACAGAAATTGTTACTACCTACCTTATCTTCTTTTTAAAATTAACGTTAGCGCAATTGTAACTTTTTTATAAGAAAAACCGGCCTTGAAAGTTCGTGAAATTACATCTAATCGCCAAGTTCTGTTGAAATCGGTTACCGAAAAGTGCCCTAAACCGGGTTCGTCCCGTAGTTTTCCACCATTACATGTGGAATATTTTCTACAAGTTTAAATGGGACCAATACTGAGGTACCCCCTTTCTAACGAAAAAACAAAAAAGATCATCGCAATCTGTTCACAAATGTCGGAGTAATTAAAAAGAAGTAAAGTAAAAAGTACACACAAAAAAAGCAGTCGAATTCAGAACATCTTCCTTTTTATGAGGTCGGTTTAAAAGCAGAGCAGAAGTTAAAGTTCGGCGTAGAGTGTAAGTATAAATACAAGATTAAAACATGCTTAATAAGAAACCTTTGCTATGCGTTATAATACTTATACAGGTATAACGTATACCTTTATATATATAGTTTATGTAGGTGTACCGGATATGTTATCTTTTAAATAGAAGTTCAGGGAAACCGAAACAATACCCACCGTTTTCGAGATAGACACAATCATCGCAATTTTTTAAAACTTTTTAATTAAATAAAACACGCTTTCTAAAACTGCTTCAATTTGTTCATTTTTTTAGTTTACTGTGGTTCTTAACACATGTTTTAGCGGGATCAGCAGACAGGGGTGAGTAGAGATAGAGAAAGATGCCAATGTATGCACTATTTATTTTGCCAATTCGTGTAAATATAACGAAAATAGTAATTTAAGATTAGGGATCCAACACTGTATCTCACAGGCGTCAAATCGCAATACCTTGAAACTTGTAGGTAGAAGGGATTGATCATAAAAAATGTATGGGTTTACTCACACTACGAAGTTAAGAAAATAGTAGCGCGTTTCAAAGTACAATTATCGCCATCTAGTAATGCTTTATGAAACTAAATGTTAGATGATAGATGTTACAATTTTGTAACAAAATATTAATTTCTATATTAATAAATTAAATCACCCCAACCTCCCATTGAAGGAAAGTATTAACATCGAACATTATTGCCCACGCTATACATCTAAGTGAACACTATTGTATATATATTGTATATATATATGTCTTTTGCAAAAGTTGTATCTTACCTGAGCATCAGAAACGTTTGGTCCTGGTAGAGTCAAGCCAAAGCCACCGACTCTCTCGGACGGGATGGCAAGCTGTAACCAAAAAATTAAGATTAACATTTGTCTTATACGGTTCTAGCATAGTTTAATAAGACAAGAACGGTAACTGTACTGAGTTACTGTACGTACGAACGTGCCAGCGCGGCTGGCATATGCACGCCTGCCGTGGGCCGTGTACAGACGCACACATTAGCAAAATAACGAAAGGCGCGTGAGTCGACCAGCGCTATGCAACGCGAGTGCATTGTGAGATTGGTGCCCTTCAGATCTTTGCGACTGAACTGTTATGAACAGGCGTGTCGCTTACCAACAGGCGAACGACTTGTTCATCCCATCACTTAGTCTCATAAAAAAAGATTATGTGAATATGTCCGTCCGTACACGGCGGGCGCGCACACACACAAACCATGCTGCTACGTCTGTATGGAGTTACCATACCTACTTATTTTACTAGTTCTATCAAAGAGGATTACTACCTAATACTACGTGTATGCTTAGCTTTTCTCTGCCAATTCATCCGTGTAGCCATCGGCAATTTTACCAAATTCGAATGTAGTGGACGGTAATAATGTATCATAAATGCACGATACATATAACAGCATGACTTGTTCTCTATAGTAAAAATAATTACTATCGCTACTAAATAAGACATAATTATCTACTATTACACCATATTTATTATCGCAGTTTTATTTTCCTATAGAATAAATCGATTTTCAAATAAGAGTGCTTACGTAGAAAAGTATATAGATTTCTAAAGGCGATTATATAAACATATATCTATAACACATAAATCATGTCTTTTGTATTGTATTTATAACAAGATTTACGCTCATCACTCTTTGCATAACGGACCGTGAAGGAAATGTCATATAGACAATACCTGTTATGTATTATTGTTTACCTTAGACATGCATCAGTGATAATTACATCGTGAGTGGTAACAATTATTCAATGACATATTTTTATAACAAGGTAAAGTGTCGCATCACACATCCCTGATTTGCGCGTTAAGAAAAAATGTAAATTTATTTTGAAATATAATACCCGACTCTTGTCATAACCAACGCAATGCACCACGACCTAAGTTTTATTGTCACCTGAAAATGTCGATTACACTGATTTTGCTTATCGTCGCCTGACTTTCTCAAACTCGTATCTTAAAGCACAAAGTTACTGAAATGCTAAAAAATTATGCATGTACAAATTTTGCAGGCTGATTTGACATCACGTTTCCTTCATATTAAGGTAAGTTCACGTCTGCCGTTTCGGTACCCGACTGCTGATCTATACAAATCATTCAAAGTTCTTACAGTCAGGCAGCTCTTTATTTTGTTTACTGTTTTGAAACAACACTCTCAGACATCTTTCACTCCATCCCTTCTGGCTTCGCGACGCATAAATATATGTCCTTCAAAATTAGTTTCGACAATAACTGCTCAGCGTTTCTTTCAATTCCTAGGCCCTTTCTTATATAATAAATTAAATAAATTATCCCCTTTTTGTGAACTCTCTAAATACGAATGCAAACTAAAATTGACCAGATATCTCTTGCTCCTTAACTATGATGAGACTGAAAATCTACTAAAAGTCGTCAAATAACCTCACAATTCCACACTCACAAACACACACGAACACACACAGACACACAATCACTCACACACTCAGACACACACTCACTCACGCATTCAGACACACTCACTCACTCACTCACTCACGCGCTCACGCGCGCACACATAATTTGTTTTACTTATTTTTTACTTCCACCTCAGTACTTTTGTATCTCATCATTACTACTAACATGACTATCCTAGGGGTTGGGTGCCTGGAGACCCATATTACAAGCTCTGCTTAGTTTGGGCTCCAGTCTCCCACAATACATTACTCTAAGCTTACGTAATAATGTATATTTACTGTAATTGTAACGTTTCTTTGTATTGTGTTGTGGAGATAAATAAAGATATTTATTATTATTATTATTATATATTTACACACTAATTTTGTGATTAAAGTAATGCAATAAAACACTTAAAGTAATGCATCCCAATTAACACCCTTGATAAGAAATTTAAAATAAATGGAAAGTATTGCCATCTCCCGAATAATAACTCTTTATAGGATACGAGTTTGAGAAAGTGAAGCATTGTTATATTATTTTATTTTAAAATAATAATAAAAAATAAAATCAAATTCTATCATAACAGGCAACGAGTTCCATATTTTGGTAGTAATAATCAGAAAAGTCCTTATGAATTAATGTTAGTAGATATATTACATAAGATTTTAAAGATTGGTTTTAAAACAAACTATACTCAGCCACTTCTATTCCATCTCTTTGGTTTTTTATTTTGTTTGGCTTTGGCTTAAGTTTGTTGTCATGGATTGTTAACAAAATATACATTAAATATTGGTTGTGTTTCATTATTATATTTACCCGTAAGAAAATTTACATACTTAAAATAATGTCTTAAAATCCTAATACTTAGGCCACTCGGCAAAACCTCGTGACATGAACACGGTACTCAACTTTAAGAACCCTCATCATGCAACGATTGGGTAAAATACAAGTACATTTATATTGTTAAAATAAAAGAAAATATTTTGTAAAAACATATGTAACGTAAATGGGAATATTCTTTGAAAATTAAAAAACAACGAATATTCGTGATTTAGATCCGAAAAAGTAGTTTATTTCTTATTTGTAACAATCCAAAAACCATTACCACATTACCAAATGTGATTTTTTCAACTTCAGGTTAAAGAATGTGGACTTACGTACCATTTCAAATAATATATATAATTTATCTATAACTTCTAATTAACACAACACACTATCAAAGGTGTTAAGCTATAGACACTAACGACGCAAGCTATAAAACACACATACGCTAAAACTGTCGCTCGCCCTGACACTGATGGTGAATAGAAACGCAGGCGCAACTGGAGCGGCGGCGCCGACGGCCTTCATGCACTCCACCATTTGCCATAAGGGTCTGAGACCTTACACGCATTAATGTAGAACTTGTAAGTAATGACCTTTATAATACACCTTTGAAGTGATAAATGTGGGAAGACAATTTCTTGTATAGATTTTAACGTAAATACCATAGCTTGAATCAAGGTATATGCGAATGTAAGCTTTTGATAAAGTACAACTATTAGGTGTAAGTGTAACTTGTTCATTTCTCAATTTTAATTTGTACTCAATTTTTTTTTCCTATCTAAACAAATTACTACACATTCGTAAAGCAGATTCCTGTGAGAAGAATGGGGGGTTGCTCTTTGTAAGCAGAATTTTTTAAATTAAATAATAAGTGCGTACTTGACCTCCATCTAACCTGATGAGGTCGACGATGGAACAAGCATACCTAAACAATGGCTATTTACTCTCTTACTTAAAATAAATTTGAAATACTCATTTCTAATATCACGGTTATCACTAATATTACTGCCACGGATTTATATCAACCAAGTACGCAGACGCTGTACATATACCTTTTATAAAAAAACTTCCCTAAGCATATAGATAGCCTCTTAAACGAATTTGTTACTCTAAAAATGACTTACAAAAACCTCCAGTTTATTTTCATGTCTGTCTTAAGTCAACCACAAATTTTCTTGAAACAAATCCCAATGTTCAAGTCGTGCACCTGTTGTTAAGCGACACTCCTGTCTGTAGTATTTGCAGTGCCACTCAGAGCTATAAATCGTCAAAATCTGAGGGACATTGACAAGTCTCATGTGCCTGTAATTTTATCAGCACCCTTACCCTTCAAAACCAGAAAGCAATAATACCCACATTACTGCTTGGCGGCAGAAATAGGTAAGGTGACAATACTTCCGAGGACGAACTCTTTCACAATGAGCTTTACGAATGACATAAAACGATAAAAACGCTTAAAAAGAATACTAAATTTTATACCTCTTATTTTTACACCTCAGTGGGTAAACTGCCGTTTAACTAACAACACGTTTGTGCAGGATAAAGATTCTATTAATGTCGCCCGCATAACCATAAAGTAAAATGCCGTATGTCATCAAACTATAAAAGCAGCTAACGTAAACCAATGTAAGAAGCACCTGTCCGAAATGTCTGTCGGAATGTTTTCGTTATTGTTAAAGTTTACATTGCAGTCTTGAGCCGTTCAGATATTTAACCATTTGTAGACCCCATTACAATTTCGCATCTAAAGTTACACCTAAATAACCTATTGTATAATAATCATAACGCACACACTCAACATAGCTACACTAGGGAAACCCTGTGTCGTGGGTGCAATGGACACACACACATAGACAACCACAAATTACATACAAACTCACGAGATAAATAAATGTAGACCATACAAATATTTCTCCCGGCCCGGGAATCGAACCTGGGACCTCTGGGTGGCAGTCCGGCATGGTAACCGTTCGATCACGGAGGCAGTTAATCAACAAAGTGTTTCTTTTTTCCATTTCTAACCGGGATGGTTGTGACCGCCTGTCTAACATTACGAGTATGTACACAATCTGTCTTTTTTGTACTTAAGACGACCTTTTAAATATCATAGTTCACAATGTTATAGGAACAATGGCGCCTTTTACTTTAAATAATAACCATCAGCACGTAATATTATTTTATGTCCATACTTTTCAGGAACTTAGGTAAATCTTAATATAAACTGAAAACAGATACGAACCTAGATATGAACCTTGAAGGACGTCCTTAACTTACCTTGGACGACTTAAGGCGCATCCTTATGTACCCTTATGACTGATTGGCATTGACCCTCTGGACCCTATTAGTCAAACACGATTTAAGAAGGTCGAGGTCACGTAGTGGCGAAGTTTCATGACCAAATAATCATGGTGCACACAATGAAATGCGTTAGCAAGGTCACCAAATGCACCTATGGAATCATGCAAGTTTTCCCATGCAACAAATGTATGCTTTGTCAACTCAACACCAGCATCGGTTGTTGAATGACCTCAAGTGAAACGTGAACCAAATTGTATAAAGAGACATTACATTATCACTAAACATTAGCACGCACCTAATTAAGAATATATCTTTAAATATTTTGCTGAAAGTCTGTAGTATTGAAATAGGTAATAGTACGAAGTCGGTTTTACTCTGGTGTGTTTGTTAATTTTTAGTGTCTTCTTGACAAATGATAAAATATCAGCGTTGTCTACGTACTCCATAATCCTCTGTAGTTGACTGATACACCCCTATGACATGTTCATTAAAATTTTATTATTAATCGTTATTTCTGTCTTTTTTTATGTATTGCATGTGAAATATATGCGAGTCATTTTGGCTTAGCTCCTTAATTAAGTCTCTGTCGAATTAAAACAATTTAATTCGATTTAAAATTAATTTTAATTTCAATATTAGTTATATTTAAAAGTTTTAAATGATTCTAATCAGTATTTTTAGTAGCAGTAGAGCTCCTTGTGAAAGAGCTCGTCCAGGGAAGTACTGCCACCTTACCTATTTCTGCCGCCAAGCAGTAATGTTCACATTACTGTGTTCCGGTTGTGAAGGGTAAGGGTGCTGGTGAAATTACAGGCACATGAGACTTGTCAACTTATGTCTCAGGGTGACGGGCGCAGTGGCAGTGCCCCCAAGATCTTTGTAATTTAAAGCTCTTGGTGGCACTGCAACTGTTATGGGCAGGCGTGTAGCTTACCATCAGGCACACGACTTGTTCGTCCCGTTACTTAATGTCATAAAAAAAAAAAAAAAAAAAAATTTGATTCCGTATACCGCTTATGAAGCAGGAGAAGTAGTCAAAGAAATTGTTGAGGTTTTTTATTTTTCTTCAATTTATTTTTAAGTGTATCGTTGTTGTAATTATTCCAATGCGTTGAAGAACAAAGTATTCTAAATACATGATTTAGATAAGTCTTTTAAATTAAATTTGCTATTATTTAATTAACAGATAACCAACAACAATGCAGCAACCCACAAGGTTATTACGACCGCTTTTCACTATAAAGCATAAGGTCGCCTTTTGTGTTAATATACGCATTATAATTAATAATAAACCCTTTTAACCAATCGGTGGGTACTAAATACTTACATGCAGTCGAATTTATAATTGTAACTATGGGGCAATTAATACTTCTCAGAATGAATAAAATAATTAGAAGTGCGCGAGCTATATCCCAAAAAAACGAACGACTAACTTGTAATTTTTATTATTTATAGCTGCAGTCTTAGAATAAGTTAGTTATTATTCTAAGGCTGCAGTAAAGTTCCTTTTGAAAGAGTTCGTCCAGGAAAGTACTACCTACCACCTTAGGGACCTATTTCTGTTGCCAAGTGGTAATGTGAGTATAACAGCGTGCCGGTTTTGAAGGGTAAGCGTGCTGGTGAAATTACAGCCACATGGGACTAGTTAATTTATGTCTCAGGGTGACGTGCGCAATGGCAGCGCCCCTTAGATCTTTGCGATTTAAAAGCTCTCTAAATGTTGCTTACCACCAGGCGCACGACTTGATTGTCCCGTCACTTGGTATGGTAAAAATACAATGGTAATTGCGATTTTGATACTTTATACCACTTACCCTAATAAAGGCAGCACCGGCGACCGCACCTAGCACCTGTACCACGATGTAAAAGGCACCCTTGATCAGCGTGATGTCTCCAGCGACGAATAGGCCACATGTCACAGCCGGGTTAATGTGACCGCCTGATACGTGTGCGATAGCCTGTGTACAAACAAACGTGACACGTAAAGCATTGTTCTACAAGTGTTCTTGACAAATATAGAATACTTATTTTGATCCGATTGGACTCGAATGTCTCGTGTTGCCACGGCGGGGCAACAGACATTGATCGAGCCGCTCGGATCGAGGGAATTTTTCTTTGCGTTTATTCGACCTTTGCATCAATAATAATAACAACAAACTATTATATGTACGTACATATATAAATAAAAACATCAGTACGGAGTACTAAAAAAACCGACCTCCAAAGTTCGTAGAATTACATCTATTTGCCAAGTTTTATTGAAATCGGTTACCAAAAAGTAAGCGAAACCGGATTCATCCCCAAGTTTGCCACCCTTTGGAATATTTTCTTCAAATTTGAACCACTACCGTAACGTTTTTGAAGTAGGTTAAAAAAATACTCCATATTTTCACAAAAAATATTGTTTGAATATTGAAAAGTTTACATTTTACGTGAATTACCGTCGAAATATGGCTTATTTAAATCCAGGAATGCAGTGAAATGTTACGATTTTTATTTTTTAAATACATAAGATGTTTGGCTCACTATAAATCTAAAAAGTCTGATAATGACCAGGAATATAACAACTTAGTCTCAGTGTCAAAAAACTTAATAGATGACATGATAAATTCAAAGAAAAACATTGAAACTACAATTTTTTTTTTAATATCTGAAGTTTTTACATTTTTCATTTTCCAAATATGGTAAAAGTTAGTTTAAATGTTACGTAAAATATTAATTTTTATGAATATATACAATTCACGTTAATGTTCCTTTAATTTTTATTTTTAGTCGCGGGATTTAATTCGATACAAAGCGCATTTCATATTAGCTACCGAATTGTAGGTAATCAAGCATCCAAATCCAGCACAATGGCCCATTTTGTTGTTACTAAATGGAATTAAATATTGATGACGAATAAGGGGATCATTACATTAACGTCGGTTTGCAAAAATCAGAAAAATCTTGTAATTAGATCGCAAACGAAGTGCGTTTCGTGTCGGTGATACAAGCAGAAAAGAAATGCACGTCTTTTTGATGTTATTGCGTGACTGTTTCAACCGGAGGACAATAATTTTAATATTGGAAGTCGATTAAAATATTAAAGTCTATAAATTATTTTAAGTAATCAACATTTTCTAAAAACAAGCTTTAATAAAGGACATAACTATCTTACCGAAGTATTTATCTACTTTATTATTATTACAACTACTTGTAATCAACAAATACTTGAACGGACATTATTCTATTTAGAATCGATTAATTGAATGGAATACGCGTATTTACACGTGTGACGTCGTAGTGATTACAAAAATGTGGCACGCTTGATTTTTATACAAATTGCAGAACTTGCGGTGTCTATCTAGATATGTGTCTGTGGTTCATACCAATTTCGCATCAACAAGTGTGGTAACTCCCTGAGCGGTGTGCTTTTCCTACGCAAAGTCCGCAAGCCATTAAAATTAAGTTAATTAATAACATAAATTAAATTTACATTTGTTTGGCGAAATAAATTATTCGAGACGTGAGACATAGCACTGGTTCTGATGACAGTTCAGTGGTGTCCGCTTATTTGCATTCGGCAGTCATAATGAAATTATAATAATATATCTATAGACATTAACTGTGCAATAAAAAGTAATCAAAAATATTTTGCACACGTAATAAAACTAAATGGTTCATAAAACACTCTGAGTGAAGGCGTGACATTTAAAATGTAGTTTATTTATTTATTGTCCATCTACGCATTTCCAAGTTTTAAACAAACAAATAATTATCGTACCAAACAAAAACAATATTAATAAAACTTATACGATTCCGATTGAATATATTTTTTTTAGTCTAGGAATATTTTAGAACGACGGAAAACTTTTAGTCGTTCCCAAAAAGGTGATTCGGGAAAGTTGAGTTAAAATAAAAATAAACATCAATCGTTAGATCTAACAGACGTGAATTTAGCTTCTTCATAGTTGCTACAAATGTTTTAATCCATGTTTACGCATAAGACCTTTGTAGCAGTGGAGCTCCTTGTGAAAGAGTTTGTCCAGGTAAGTATGGGACTTTTCAACTTATGCCTCAGGGTGACGGGCGCAGTGGCAGTGCTGAGCAGCACTGCAACTATTATGGACAGGCGCGTTTCTTACTACCGGCTCATTAAATGTACTCACGAGCTTATTTTACCGAGTTAGAGTGGCTATAGACGTCGACTTTTAGCAGCGGAGCAAATGCGCGTTTGCGAAACTACACTTGTGATTTATAGGCGATTACATAGATGCAAACGCGCGACTGCATCGATACAAACGCACAACTGTATCGATTCAAACGCGCGACTTCATCGATACAAACGCGCCATTGCATCGACGCAAACGCGCGACTGCATCGATATAGTCGCTTATGTTGAATCATTATTTATTCTTATTTTATTTTATTTGGATTACAATAGCCCTATTTAATACAATTCTAACCTCAACATACGTTAACGTTTTTTGGGTAGGCCAATTACAGTTATCCACTAAAATAATTACAGAAATTATTTTTTAGATTATGTATGAAAAGTCTGTATTCGTTTATGCACATTGTTTTGTTTTTTTAATTAAATTTAATTAAATTTTTAAATTTTTTAAGTAAATTTAAAAGTGAAATTAGTAATTACATTAAATAAATAAATTTGTTAATTAATTTAAAACGTGTATCCCGTTTGCTTCGCTGCTTAAAGTCGCGCATGTGTAAAGGTAGACGACTAGCGACTGCATCGCGTTTGCATCGCTTTTACATCGCTGCTAAGAGTCGCCGTATGTAAACGCTCTTACATTCAAATAACTTTTGTATTTCCGAATGTTTTGACGCAAAAACATAGGAGTTATAAGTTTGAAGTCATTGTGGGGGCCTCACTCACAAACGTAAAGGACTGATCACAAAGCGGCTTTTATGGGACTTCACTTCAGATTTATAGTTACTGGAAGAGATCGGAATAGGCACAGTAACAATGTGAACTTCAAGGAAGTAATAATACCTCCCTTTGAAATCCTGGAATTACAGTACTCTATTTTGTTTTGTATTTTCGTTGTGTATCGAGTAATTACTTAGTAGTGTATTTAAAACAACATTTTTGTAACTGTTTGTTATTTTTATTTTTTACCTTTTTATCTAAAAATACTATGTCTATCTAACTCTGTGTGAGTTATATGCTCAATTGGTGGTGGAAATATCTTGTACCTTTCGACTATGCAACGAGGAGAATAATTTGATTTTCGACTCTGCTTTATGCAACCGTGAACATATATTTTCGTTCACATGATTACGTAAAACCTATATTATGATAACGGTGCACCTGCTATCCACGATGATTGTAAATATATAAACCAAGCTTATGAACTTGACCTGTGACATAACTCCGATGGTGATTCAGAGGTCAATCGCGTGCGTTCGCGACTCGCCGCGCTAGATGCTCACGCACATGTGCTCACGACCCGTAATGGTGAAGTTTAAATTATCAAACTTTTAATAATTGAATCATTGTTTTTTTAAGACATGACAGGCAAGTTGCTTCCTCACTGTCTGATGTTAAATAAAAAGTGGAATTGTAATATGAACGAACCTAGTGCAGTGTTGGTACAATGACCCTATCCATGCACTTCTTCCCTGTATGCCAACAAGATGCCTTCTTTGTGCTTCGTTTGAAGAACCCCATACCAAAAGTGAGCGGGAATACATGTACTGGAAGATACTTCGATTTGTCGGCTGCGCGACAGAGAAAGGTGTATATACTATGGATACGATTTCAAACAACAGTCGAGACTTTACTGTAGTTTCATGATAATTAAAAAAAAAACCATAGCGCAAAGATCGTCAAATAACTTACCACTATTCTTGTATATATAAGTAATGAAACTTTTTCATTGAAAAAAAACCTACCTCAAAAGTTTGCTTATCGGCTTTTTTCGATTACCATGGTTTCTCCTCTTAGACTATGGAAACCAAAGGACATGTTATATTGACGTATATAAATCAGACGTTATATGTATATGATGCATTTAGACGTTGAAAAAGTAACCATTTTACTGTCTTTGTTTAACTACCGTCGTAAGCCAAAAGAGATAGCACTACATTCATTTATGTCAGACACGGGAATCGAAAATTCGTAACGTCATCTTTCCTCATTTTACCATTTTTGGAGTACCCTTTGACATCCGTATTCGGTTGTCAAAGGGAAGTACATGAGATGTCAAAACCAATGTTTGGCCAAATGTTTTATTGAATTATTCGTTTGAATTGTAATAAATTTGGACAAAAATATTGACAGTGAGAACAACTAGGTATTGATTAAAATGCGTCACTGCGGCATTAAGGGATACGGCAGTAGAAAAGGCGAAAATCAACTGAATGTTACATTACATCGGCAAGTGTTTTGTTTGTCTATAAACCATACATTAGTCCAAATATCTCATGTAATTAGACTCATTTAAGTAGTTTATTCATAAGTCTTGCCGAATTTTGCTTTGGTTACTTTAGATTGTGTGTTTGTTAGTATATTTTGAAAATTATTGAAAAGATGTTGATTATTTTGAGATAGTGTTGTTCTTGTAAACAGACATATTATCGATATTCTGTTATTAAACCAATTCACTACGAGGTACTTATTTTTTCATTATTATTATTTTTATTTTTAAAGTTTACCTATAAATGAAAAAAGAAAGAAAGATAGATTGGAAATTATAGGATTGCCGAACATAAACATTGGATCAAATATCACCTTCGTCTGTTCGCTCCATTTTGAAGAGTCAAATTTTAATAGAACTTTGAATGTAACTGGATTATATGATAATGCAATTCCATCATCGCATTTATTGGTAAATAATTTTATGTTTAATTTTGAGTAAACAAGAGAAATTGCCAGGCATTCTCAGTTCCTTAAAACCATCCACTACTTTCCGATTTTTTCCCACTGACAACTCTAACATTACATAACATGTATTAG